ACGTGCTTGAACGTCGCAGCACAAATATTATACAAAAATAATTTAATTAAAATCGTATACGGGATGTATCATATTATTATTATTTAATCCAGGTAGCATTGTTTTGAAGGATGTCATGCTATTTATGTATTCGGGAAACATTGAATTGTTGCTTTGTGGTTAAATATAATACATAATATTAAATATACATACATATTAGAATGATTACCGTCTATAAATTATTGTGTAAAAATAATAGTGGAAAAAAATGATTAAATTTTGTTTTACACAATATAAAAAGTACTTACTCATTTATATAAGTACTAGCAAAATTAACCACCAACAAGACTGCAACTCGTACTGCAGCTGCACTCTACCTATTAGGGACATTGGCTTTATAATAATATTAAATCGTTTTTACTAGAAATAATAATAATGTGTTCTGTTAGCGTACAGGTCAAATACGTGTTGTCTGTGTTGTAATACATCCGCTGAATTCTTTAAATTGAACAAATAGCTTTACATAATGTCTAAGTACCGTCGATTCCCAAGAACTGTAATTACTAAGCGCTAAAATATTGATGCCTTAATACAATAACAATGTTTTTTACCGCTGTTGATTCTGGATCAGTTTCAAAGTGGCTCAATGGAAAAAATTGTTTTACAGTTGCTATCCTTAAACTCGTTAAAAAATACTCGAGCAAGCCATTTGAAAACTATCACAAAACGGATTTGTTTTTTTCTTAAGTACACAAACAAAACTTATGTAAACCGTTATGACAATAAATAGTTTTGGGAAAATTGTCAATTTTGCACTAGGGCAGCGATTTTTCAAGTCAGTGTCAATGAAAAGAAAAAGTTTTGAGCACTTTGGATAGAATTTCTAGTTCATTTATTAATTAATATTGATGTCGTGTCAAAAAAGCAATCTATTCGTGTAGTTCTTACCCAATATAGTTTATGTGTGATTTATTTGGCACTGCCTTCAAAAATTATTTCACATAATATTATACAACACCAAATTCTGTCAGTTGTAGAAATGTTGCGAAACACGTTTTAGCTAAACTATTAATTTTAGGGTTATTTTCAAACAATAAGTTTTATAATGATTTTCATTGCCTAATGCGTTTGTTTTCTGCGATGTAAACAATTGTTAACACACTAATTTTCAAACCTGAAATACTGAAATATTAGTAACGTTCAAATATCCTTCCTTTACAAGCTTACTGGTTTTTATACATTGTTACAATTGAATTAGGTATGATTTCTTTGGAATAAACATGTTTTTTAGAAATAATCATTTTAAACATTACTCAAAATCGAATAGAAAACTTTTTATTTTTCGAGTTTTGAGTGTTTTTAATTTGGAATTAGAGCGTTGGTTTTATACTTGTAGTATATATAATAATATGTCTATATATTTATTTTATTAATCACAGAATGTTTATGATTAGTAGTAGAGTTTTTGGTTCTTAATAGTGAGTTATTTTTTAATTTGCTTTCGAATTGGCTGTTAGCCGTGAATTAATTTTTATAATTAAACAAAAATAATTAGTTGGTATTCGCTTTCACCGAAAAATTGGTTTTAAATTATTTACTGAAATCAAATTATTTTAAATAATTGTTAAACTTAAAACCAACGATTATGAAAAATAGTTACTCAAGTTGAAAACTTCTTCAGCTTCTATCTAAATGTAAAACAATTAAAATATGTGCAAATATTTTAATAAAACCTGTTGAAACTATAACAGTCTACTATTATAATTATGTTATACTGATGTCCATTAAGAGTGCTGTTGAAAAATATAGTATTTGTTTTAGAATTCCGTCGAATAACAGCTATCATAGTACACTTATACAATATTAGATAGCTATATATTATATGTGTTTGTTATGTTCAAAACAGTAATAAATCATCTAGTATTGGGTAATGCTGTACATTTACAGAAATGTATTGTGTTTTAACTAAATCGGATATTTTTGTCGATTAGTTAGATTGTAGTATCTATTATATGTATTTTGTTTAAGTCATGATTGTATCCTACTTATTAGTAGGATGTTAATAATATCGCATTATCGCTGATGCACTGTTGATTGTTTCCGGCAGACTGTTGTGTTTGGGAAATTAAAAATATCAAACAAAGCCAATACTTTGTATTTTAGAAATCAAATTTCCAATTTTTTTTGTATTCTTTTAGCTTTAAATTTGTTTTTTTTTTTCAATTAACTGGTCGAACATGTCAATAATAATTGCAGTCATTAAACGTCAAGCCACGCCTTATACTGAACTTCAGCTATTTACCCAAATTATTTAATGCTATAATATTCATATTTTTTTTTATTATTATTGTCCGCTCTTAATACACGGTTATAAATTATTTATAAGTATACGATTTTTTTAAACACGCATTAAAGAGATTGCTTTAATTATTATAATTTACGACCAGTTAATTGAAAGTAAAAAACAAATTTACGTTAACCTGTATAAAACATGATTTACTTGGGTGTTTAAAAACAACGTATTGCATACGTTCAAAAAGTTTTTGAAAAAACTACTATTTAATACCGATTAAATTTGAATTGAATTGAATTTTTTTTCTCTTATCTAAGTACATACCTATATAAGGGAAAAATCCCGGATATACTTTGTAAAACATATATAAATATACACAAGTTATAAAACAAAAAATAATAAATAATTATTAATAGTTATCAATATTTATTGTAAATTAATGTTTTTCGTAATTTAGCTCTTATTAAATATTATGAAAAATGTATGTATAGGTATTATTATATTGTTGTTTTTTTATCCTTAAGCTGCGACAACTTTGTCCATTAGCTGTTAGGTTAATAAAGGTATTATTGTTTATGGATTTGGTTAGGTTGATTTATAGTTATTCTAACTATGCTAAGAGTTATAAAATTATATTGTCTCTGTACAGCAAAAAAAATGTTTTCAAAGTGGATTAAACAATAATATTAAAACTACCTTTTGGCTTTACTAAAAAAAAAAATATTATGGCAACATTTCCGACTATATAAAAATATGTTTTACATTACTTTAATTTAAAATGAGCTTTTATGGAATCTCATAATTCAAATATATTTTGCCGGTTTAAAAACTAGTAAAGTCATTTGAAAAAAAATTAAGTACCGATTTTAAGCCAGTTAAAAGTTGAGCTAATAATAAATGTGTATATATATATATACGATATTCAAAATAGTTATCGAAACAACAAAAAATACTGCTACAAAAAAAAAAAAAACTTTTACCATTAATAAAATAATAGTTTCTATTTTTTAATAAAAAATGTATATATATATTTTTTTTTTTTGCAAATAAAATAATTCTAAATAATAATTTATATTGTACGATTATTGTATGCACGTGTACTACGAGTGAGATAATTTTATGTTGTAAAATAAAAGAGTAATATCTGAAGAATTGCTTCATTCGTTGTTACTGCAGATTACAGTATCACCGATATACCGTTAAAGCTAATTAAATTTCAAATAGAGTGTGTTTCATATTAAAACAAAAATTGTTATATTCAAAGGAATCTATCTATCGGACTTTTTGTGTGAGAAAAAAGCATTTCCAAAAAATGTAAAAGTCAAATTAAAGCATTGTTTAAATATTGCCATTTTCAAATATCTGTATACTTAATCTAAAATGGAGAACTACGTATTTTGGTTTTGTTTCTTATGTCTGACGTTCTTTGAGACACAACTCCAAAAGACTATGCTGTCAAATACACATAATAATATATTAAGTCTTACAACAGGCACGCTTTAGCAAAGTTTTTGATTAAAGTTCATTTGACGTACTCGGCACAGTAACACAATACAGCGACCCAGCAGGATATAATATAATATTATAATAGCACTTGCGGTTTCATAATATTATATATTAGAATATTGGATTTTCGGCTTGGTATGAGTTCAACAGCCACCGAGCTAAGTGTGTTATTAAATAACATACAAAAACGATATATTGTAAAACAGGTGACCCATTAAGCCAACATTCAAACGAGCCTTTCAAGATATTGATAAAAATGAAATTTCTAAAAGTGTTTTGCAAAATGTTGTTCTTTTTTGTCTTCATACAAAAATGGCGTCGACCGGCTAAATATGCACTGTCCACAAATATCCATGTCAGTTTTGCATGAAATATTTTGTTAGTATTTATTTTTCGTTTACATAATTATTTTAAAACCAATTCGATGGAATCTAAATTTTTAAGATGCTATATAGAGCACTCCCCTTGAAGAAACATTAATAAGTAATTAATTAAAGACTCATAAATCTAAGCACCTTCTTGTTTCTTTTTAATTCCATGTTAATTTTTTGGTTCACAATTAAAAAAAAAATTATTTTTAAAACTCAAATGGTGACTGGAAATTAAAAATTTTCGACAATACTCGGTTAAGTTTTCTTTTTTTTTAGAAGCCTAAAAACATATTTTCCATGTAATCATTTTTGGAGAATATGTATTATGTATTACCACTCTATTTTGTAATATATTTCTGTAATCTCGCCATTGTCGTACATAATAAATAAATAAATACGTTATACTTTTAGCTTAAACTTGATTAACTTATTTATGCAAAATTGCCTAAAGTAGCCCCTAAAAATGTGGTATGCATGACGTCCACTCGACTCGAGCAAATTATTGGTGTTGTTACTTTGTCCGTGCTTCATGTCCGTCACTTACTGTTTTTTTCATTCACATACAATATTATAATTTGATTCGTTGTCAGCTACATCAATTTGATGCGGTGCAATGAATAGACACTTATAATATACTTTTGGCTGTATCAGATGAGACCAAGGAGCGTGTAGATATTCTGGCAAAGGTGCAACAAACAAAGGGGGCTGGAGAAGTTTTAACCGTTTAATAACTCTTGAAACTCTCTCAGAAAATGTTAAAAACCACACTGCCCCTTATCGGTTGCTATCGAAAGCCCGAATGTGTTTAGGAAGATTTGAACTTTTTTTGTACAATATAAACAAAACGGTAATTGACGGTAAAAAAAAATTATTGTTTTTATTACAAAAAAATACTAATAATCAGCACAAAAAAAAAAAATGAATTAGACATCACTTAACATAATTACGGGGGGGGGGGGAGAGGAGAGGGAAAGAAAAGGGATGAGAGGGACAGAAGTAGCTGCGGGATCTGGATCGTTGTCTTCAGTAGTGGTAAGCGTACGGGTAAGCGGTCTTGACAGCCGGGTAGTAAGCCTTCTCGTACTTGCCGGGCCAGTATTTGCCGTCGTCGTAGGCGTAAGAGTAGCTCGGGTAAGCTGAGTGGTACGCACTGTAGGCCGAGGAGTAAGCCGGGTAAGCGGCGTACGGGTATGCAGCCGGGTAAGCGGAGTACGGGTATGCGGCCGGGGCGGAGTAGGCTACGACAGCTGAGGAAATCAAACATTTCATTAGTAACACTTATATATTATATAAATAAAGATATGTGTATACTTTTTTTTTATAAGTAAAAAAACCGAAAAACAAGAAAAATACTCGACTTCAAATAATACTAGACCGAAAAAAGGGACGACGAGTAACCTTCTTTTTTTTAATAAGTTTCCGATCATAAAATATTACAATACTTATCAACAAGACTTTTTTGTTAAAGAATATTCCATCAGTTTGCCAAACAAATAATATTAAACAGTACTACTCAAAAAATCAAATTGAAATATTTCTAAAATATTGTCAATACATTGTCTAACATTTTGAAAAAGATTTAGAATCAGTTTTTGTACGAGTTATCAAAAATTTTAAGATAATATTAAAATACTATTGCCATGTAGGTGGAAATATTTTATTTATAAGTGTTAATTAGAATAATATTGAAATATTTCTGCTTACACGAAAACATTTCATTAACAATTTTAAAAATTTGAATACATATATTTTAAAAATATATTGTAATAAAGTGTCTAACATTTTGAAAACATTAAAAATGCTTTGCTGCCTGAGTAATAAACACAATATATTAACCCGTAGGAATTTTTAAAAAAAAATCACAACTACCCTTTTGGTTATCACCACTTAGATTAAAAATGAAATTAAATGTTTTTTTTTTCAAATTGGTCCTACTCCTATCGAAACTTGTACATTGTTTTGCAACTTAAATGTTAATTTCTAATATTTAACGTTCTTGGCAAGTAATTATTTTACTTCTTGTAAGTTAAAATGAAACATTGTTAGTGAAAAAAGATCGGAGATCGACTTTATGCCTACTATTACCTAGTACTACGATGAGAGTATTATGCGCAGAATTGGTCAGATTTTTATATTTTTTTTTTTTTTTAATCAATCACAAAAATACTTTAAAGTTTTTATTTTAGTTAATTTTAAAAGACTCGGTGTATAAAATATTCCAAAGACTTGGTAGATAAGTCGAAAGCTTTCAGATGATTGGGAGGTTAAGTATATACATTTTGAAAGTGTATTTTATTTTTTATTGGACAAGCGTCCGTTCTCCGGTGGAGGAGAACCTGACATAAAACCTCAACTCTTGCGTTAAAAAAAATGGTTTTTGACATTTTCGTTCTTACTCTACAACACTGAGTGTATGTACTTACGGGCAGCGACGAAAGCGTGTTTCTTCACTCTAGCCGGATCAGCTTCTACTGGAGCCGGTTGTTGTTGTGGAGCACTCGGTTGTTCGGCGGCGACGGCGTACACGCCGAGGACGGCCAAGGAGACGAATATCTGCAAAAGAAAAATGGTTTTTTTTTTTTAATTTTAACTTTTTCCCGTCAAAGCGACAAAAAAAACTATTGAAATATCGTGCGGATAATTTTGGGTCGAACGGCGTACCAATACTTTTGGTAAGCCGACAGAGACTTCGACGAAAATTGACACTCACCAGACACTTGAAAGAAGCCATTGCTGCTGCTGCTGTTTGATCGGTGGTCGGGTTTGATTATCGTTGGAAATCTTTTGACTGCGATCTGCAAACTTCTACACTTGGCTCGGTGGCGAACTGATGCCGTTGCCCATGTCCGACTGTGTTTTTATACGCAAAACACCGACTTGGCGAATCCCGGGGGGTTCCCCCTTCTCTCCCCGGTGGTGTGGGGCCCCCCCGGGTACATCATCATCGTCGCACAATAGCCCGCACACGCGTTGCACGCGAGGGCGTTGCCTGTCCTGTGCAAAAGGCCAACATCCGGATCACAACAAACACAGCTACGATGACCTTCAGAACGGCGTAACCGTGTCTCGGAGGGAGAGTACAGTGTTGGAAGAAAAGCGAAAATAATATTGAAAAAAAAAAAAAAAACCCTAAGTCCATTTAGGCGCGTTGCCGGACGTGAGCAATGGATACAATGGTCTTGTTACGCGCGCGGTCAGTTTGAGTTTATCGCCAGAGCTCAGTCAGAGAGGACTAGCAGGTGCAAGCGGCTTACAGATCATAAGTCAGACCCGAGAGGTACTTTATTGGGTCAAAAATGTAAAAAGCCGCCTTCTTGCTTTTTTTAAATCGAAAAAAATCACCATAAACATTTATACATTTTTCGTCTTCAAATTACGACGTGGTAAACTTTTTCAAATTGACAGTCTCGTTAGTTCCGTTTTTGTGTGGTATACTCTTTGTATACGTGTAGTATTATAATACACACTATGTCAAAAAAACTAAAAAATACCAAAGGCTATTCTTCCAGGTTAGATTAGGTTCTGACTCGGGTCTGAAATTTATACTGAAGTTTCATCTAAAGTGTGGCTATAACGTAAATAATTTTCTCAAAAATCCGTAGTAGAACTTTTTTATTTAAAATGAAAAAAAAAACTAGCACAGAGTCGGGGATAGGATATTTAGGGAATTATTATAACTGAAAGTGATCAAATAACTTTCAATATAAATTACTGATTCTTGAAAAACTTGTTTTTTTTATAACCCTATTTTAGATGTCCCTTTAGTCTAATTTGGTATTTCAGTAAATTCGAAACTTATTCTACTAATTTTAAAAAAGTTTATAAAAAGCTTTTTGGGATGTTTTTCTCGATCAATTTATACATATTTTTTTGTCCAATAAAATACTTTTCGTGTACGACGCTTGATCTACAGTCTTGCTGTTTGAAGGAATCGGTTCAGCGAGTTGGAAGAGATCTTGGGTCCAGGCAAAAGATTAAAAAAAATATATTTAAAAACTTAATACCTTCTCGGGTCCACATCGAAGTTAAAAAAAGGGAAATTGACGTTTTTGTGAACGTATTAAATTCCCAGGTGGGCATGTTTGAATGAATCAATAGTCAAGAAGTATCTGACAACGGGTATTTTCATTGTGTTGTAAATTACAATGTATAGGGCTATCAGAATTTTATGGTACACCTAATATTTTGATTATGTACTGAAATTTATCTACACCACGGTTAATTCGTTTTTTAAATTAAGAGCGATTTGCAGAGAAAACACTGACTGGTCGACAACAAATTATTAGGATGAGCTGACCCCGATCGCAGCCATCTTTTTGCTGAAAATAGATACAATATCATAATCACATTTTGGGTTTTACAATGGTTTTCGTCGGTTTTTTTTATATCCGTACCGTCTACAAATTAGAATGGAAGAGTTGTTTTTTTTTTTTTTAGTTTTTAAGTTATAATTTTTATCATATTTTTTTATTATTTCTTTTTTGCAAATTCTATCGTCCTTCTTGTGGACACGGTCACCGATTCGCCTCTGTATACCGACACGGTGTATGGGTCTTTGTACAACGCTGCAGTTTACACGGCAGACGACAGAGCTAGATTACTTTACATAATATTATACCTAATGTGTATACTAGACCGCTTGTTATTAAAACACACAAACACACACACATATTATATCAAACGGGGTCGTTCGAACGGGCGACTTTACCGTGTCACGGGCATATTTTTTTTTTAGTTTTAATCAAATATTATTGTAATATACGGCGTGTAATATGTAAATACCAGGGACGGACGATAGGCAACTGGAAAACTGATTTCGCAAAAACAATAGGATAATCCTTAACGTGAAACCACGTGTGAGCGTTAACAAAAAAAAAAAAAAAAAGCTTATTTAAATAAAAATTTGTTTGAAATTATTATTTGGAAACCAACAGTGGTTGTCCACCGGTCTTCGAAAACGATAATAACTGAATGTGGCAACAAACCAAATCACTATTAAACGAACGCTTTGATAGCATAAATGTGCTAAAGTTTGTATCTTTAGTAATTAAATTGATACAAATTAATTGTAATGAATAATATACGCCTAAAAAATGTTGAAGGGGGGGGGGGGGTGAAAAACAGCAACCAGGTGTACATACTATGTTTTTAATAGTCGACCAGAATATAGCACACGTAAATTGTTTAGAGAAATATAAATATTTTTTAACGTTTTGCTGGGGTTTGCTATTGTAGGTAATAGGGTCCGTGCAAAAACGAGACAACTCCATTTTTTTAAACTTTTCAAGAAACAAAAAAACTATTTTTTATCTGGTTTTCAGACAGCTCCAGTTCCATTATATTTCCTAAACCGGTGGTCCGGATTTGTCTCGTTCTTGCATAGATATACTTGTCAAATTTTTCTTAATTGGAAACGGCCAAAAATACATTTTCGACAAAATGGAGTTGTCTTGTTTTTGCACGGACCCCCTCAATTTCTTGTACAAGATTTTGAAAATATAATTAATTTGCAACTATAAAGTTAATAGTTTTCAGAAATATTGTAAAAACTTTTTTTGTAAATATTTGATTTTCTGCTAACATATTTTTACATAATATTATGACAGTCATTTTTTATATTTTATATTTTTCAATAAAACCCAAATATTAGTAGTTGGAAATATTTTAATTTTAACAACATTTTGTGAACACTATTTTTAAAGTATTTAACATTATTTTGTCAAATAATTTTGATTAATTTTTGCTTTTGGCTCAAATATTAATAACACTAATATTTAAATAATATAAGCCCTATAATAATTGTACATAAATTATTTAGAAAATATCAAACCAATAATATCTAATAATATTCACAATAATTCATGCTTATTTTATTTTTTTGATCAAGATCTTAATCAATTGTTATTATAACGTTGACGAATATGAACAGTTAAATAATTAGGGTTTGTTTTTTATTTAACAATAAATATAATTATATTATTGAGAAACATTTATGGTTTAATATTTTAATTCCCGCCAAATCATTAAATACTCAATCATACTATTTAAGTTATATACATATTATCTTGACAATTATAATAAATTAAACTATTTTTTTGTCAAATGTAAGCGATATTTGTTAAAGTATATAATTTCTGCATGGGATGTAGTCAAGGCTGGCCGAAATGTATGGTTTATAGTTATCAAAGTTTTCATTATTGGAAAAATAAAACAAGAAACTCGGTAACGTATCTATCATATTATTGCACTCATGGTAAACTGTGACAAATAAAATGGATTTTTCCAAAAAACGATTCTGCAATTACAATATTACCGCAACCGCACTGGTGTTATGTAACTCCTTCCAAAAATATTTTCTTTCAATAAATATAGGTGAGCCGTGAGATCATCTCATCTATATAACATTTATTATCCTATGACAGGTTCTACCTGCTTTGAAGATTGAACGGTTCAAGTGCTATCTAAAAAATAAATCCTAGTCGCGGCAGTGATTTAGAATGATTAGAGACTTTAATGCAGTGTAATTATTTGTTACATCACCGTCACGATACGTTGTTATTGCTAGGTTTTATACCCCCCCCCCCTCCTCTAGACAACCTCTTTCGCCCTGAATAAGTCTGGAAAAATATTGTGTTGTTCGGTTTTTGTACATAGTGTTTTCTTATAGTATTTACTGTGTATATTGAAAATAGTATTGTATTGCGTCAGAATCTAATAAATTGCATAAAATGTTATTTAAAAAAAGCTTATATTATTTAACATAAAAATACAATTTATTTACATTCGAGTGTAGTTAAAATTTGACACGAGGAAGTTATCTAAATATTTTTACCGCGCATACGGAAGTGTTCGGTTGTTTGTTGAGAAAATGATTGTGACAAATCAGATTTACTCATTCAATTTGTGTTTAAATGTAAAAACGCATTTTTTTAGTCATTAAAATGTAATGTAATATATTTTTATAATAATATTTGGAATACTACAATTTTTTAACCACAGGCCATGGCCCAATTAAAATTCATTAAAAAAATTCTAACTCGTTGGCCTCTTTACTTTAGCGGTTTAGTTAAAAACTAGTTTTTTAAGTTGAAAAATTATTTTATGTTACATAAAATTAATTTCAACCCATACAGATATTAAAATATAAAAATATTTTATTATTGTTGTATAGGTATTAATTGTTTATAAAATTCAGTAAATATTATTGAAAAATTAACATAATTTATTGCCAAAATATCACTTGTAGACCAAAGCTGAACCTCTAATTTTTATCTTAAACTGTGGTTACAATTTATAGACACGAACGAAGACTACTAGCTAGTTAACTAAGTCTTTTTATATCTTTGACAAATTACAATATTTTTTAAACATTTACCTATTTAAAAAATGTAAATGATTTTTACAAAATATAAATTTTACACTTTGCTTTCTTGGGTTTTTAACGTAGAATATTCACAAAACTCTTCAAATGATTAATTTTATTCAAAATTCAAATTGTATACTGGATTAAATTTGATTCTAAAGCAAATATAAACTTACTTGAAACGGACTAAATTAATTTAGAAATGGCCTTGAAATCAACAAATAACTTAAAAAACTTTTTAGTTTCAAAAAACGGTTTGACATGAATAATTGTAAAATTGCAAATTTTATTGAAAAAAAATTATTCGCTAGGTATTGTTTTAAAAATAATAGTTAATATGTTCATTTAATACCAAATTTATTCGGTCCCAGCATCGAATAAAATCTTATATGGATAAAATTATTTTTATTTTTCAACTTTTATAGAAATCCTGTTAATAAATAACCGCGTTGAAATGTAATTTTTTGAAAACGTTTTATAACTGAATTGTAA